ATCGATTAATTGTCGACAAGAATTTACTTGATTAAATGAATTGTCGGCTAATTGAACATTGCGAAAGTAACACAAGATTCTCACGTGAGAGACCCTGCACAACAAAAAAAAAATTTTTTTTGAGGCGGTCAAAACGGATTGGACGACCAGCTATACAGCGTGCTAACCTCGAAAATCCAGCTGTATGCTTAAAATAACTTGGCTCTCCTTATTAGCTAGGCTCCTTGCATGCTAGATAATAACTTTTTTTAAAGCTGGGTGTCCAACATTAACAGCGCTGTGTTGGACAGATTTGAACATCGGTGTGTCATAAGTGAGAGCGTGAGAGGTACACGAGAGAGGTAGTGTTGCGTGAATGCGCTATGGCGCTTTGCAATTAAATACGATTTTAAATCTTAGTAAAAAAAAATTTAAATCAATGTATGGCGGTCAGCATTGATATTGTGTCGGGCTGCCACAAGTAAATGAACGAATGGGAAACTCTGCCCTCTAATTTTACCATCACCTTCCTCAGGGATGATTTATGTTATGTTAAGTTCTATATTTGAAGTTTCCAGGTCTAGTAATCTTACTGTTACCTTTCTCAGACCAAGGGGGATTATAAATGCTCGCTGCTGCTAATGTTCATATAAGTGTTTGCCAGATAGATTATTATATGTAGGCTTGATATAGTGTAGGCTAAGCCTACCCATATAGATTTTTATTTAAAATGTATTTTATGTTGCTGAATGTTTCACATGCAACAGGTGAGCCAATGCACAATTATTTTTTATGTACTTTAATTTTCTGTACATAATTTATTTTGTTAAACTACATAAATGCCATTCCATTATCTGTACCGTATCCCACCTGTTACATTAAAACATCAATTGCGCAACATGCATTTTTATTCAGTATTAGCATTTTTTTGCTTTTTATGTTAAAGACTCTATTGATACTGGGAGAAATTTATATTCTCAGGAAAATAGGCGCTTATCAGTTAATCGATCGATAAGGTCGATCAACTAATGATTAATGAATTAATTGATAATTTGCATCCCTAGTACCAAATAAGAGGGTTCCCTGTATAGTCTACAGCATTAGTTGGGAGTTATTACAGCATTAGATCGGTATCGGCATATACCATTCTGAGTAATCGGCTATCGGTATCAGCGGAGACATTTTCTATCAGTGCATCTCTTGTTTAAATGTTCTCCCCACTCATTATTTTCTCAAATCAGTGACTGATTAATAGTTGCCACCTAAAACTATGTATTTTCAAAATTGACTAGCCAGTGTGTTGCATGAACTCATCTACTACACTCAAAATACGACAAAAAAATCAAATGGGATTTGGGAAAGAATAAAACCGATTTCACAGGGCCCTGTAAAGGCTGCTGAAATGTTAAAAGGCTGAATACATTTTAAAACATTTTTCAAAAACAATATTACATTTTTACTGTATTTCGACCAAACAAATGCAGCCTTGGCGAATGACTTATACAAACATTTGCTGACGCATGAATGGTGAGTAAATAGGATAAATAGAGACCTATTGATTTGGACTTTCTTTTTTTGAAAGCACTAAAAAAATTGGCTAAAAGCCATTGGTTACATTTGTCATTTGCACTCAATAATTAATGGAAAAAATGTCCATCTGCTGCGCCGAGCATATAAAATCCTGTCTTGTGAAGTAATTGCTTTAAATGGAGGGGATGTTACAGCCCTGCCTGCCTGTGATAAAAGTTGTGTCTGACAGCAAAGTTTCTGCCTCCGTTCCTCCTTTGTTTCCATGGCTACAGATGTGGAAAGCTCTTAAAGGGAAGCTAGGGTGGTGGAGCTTTGAAATATCTGCTGCATGTATATTTGATTACTCTGTGACTGCTGTAGCTGGAGCTCTGCCACTCCTTAGGGATCTGCCTCAGCTCCGTCATACCTGCGGACTTTGATCTGAGCCTCTTGTGCAGCGCGGCACCTCAACTCGGGTTATTGGTTGCCACAGTAACCGTTATTGGGAGGTGATGGACAGCCTGGAGGCTGAAGACGTGATGGACTATGGAACCACCCTCCCCCACTCTCTCCATCTCTCCCTGTGAATGCCGAGATGAATTTCACAGCTAATGAGGCAGTGCCCTCCCCAAGTCATGGAGCTGTGTGTGGATGCTAACAGAGGTATGCCGTTTGGCTCTTCTGTCCACAGCGATGAATTTCCAGCTCCGTGACCTTTGAAGATCCTGTCCTCTTGGCTCATTATTAGAGCATAAACTACACCAAGCATTAGGGCAGCACGAAACCTCAGCGTAGTAGACCAATTAGTGGCTGAGCTTGCCTGACTCCTGTTCTGTAGGAACTGGCTGCATTTCCTTCTTTTTAGCCTGTTTCTTCATCACTGTAATGTCAGTTGGATTTCAATAAATATACTTCTGCAATGACACTGAGAATACATAATAAAAAAGGAAGCGAGTATTTTTTGCTGTCTTTACTTTGCTTTTTTTTTTTTTTCCTTTCCTGGGATCCCAATTTTAACAGAAACGCTGGCAAGCTTTGCTTAGATGTGCGAACTGGGATTGAGGAAAGATACTTCTGTTGTCATCAGCAGGATCCAGCCATAAATTTTTTGTGCTTCACAGGCAGTGTTTTTTCATTGTGCCTTTATAGTACTTAAAGCGATAGTGAACCCCAAATGTACTCACATTTCAAAACTGAATGACTTTCATTCTTCTGCAGAACTCAAAAGGAGATATTTCAGTTGTTTTGTCCATATGAGCCAATGGGGTCAAAAACAACATTGAACCCCATTGACTTTAGTTGTGTGTGGACATGCTCTTATTTTTGTTCAGAAAATGACAATCCTCATTTTTGACTGAACTGTCTTTTTAACTGTTCGCCTATGTAATTACACCAACATTATTGAACAATGCAATAAGCGATTGCACTTAAAAGGTTTTTCAGCACTGTAGCATAGCTGTCAGATAAAGTTTAACGAGTTATTAACGGCGTTAACGCAAACCCATTTTAACGGTGTTAATTTTTTTATCGCGCGATTAACGGTCTTTTTGTCCTAGCAAACTTTGTAGTTTTTTCACATGGTTTTGCCTCAGTCGCGTCCTGATCCATTTCGGCGTCTCGCGCTCGTCATCCACTCAAAGCCGGCTCGCAAGCTGAAACGTGTGTTTGCGGCGTGCCTGTTATTTTGTTTCCGGTCTAGCTAGATCCACTTGCGCTTTGGTCGAAGAAGCAACAAAAACGTCCTCGCACGGCGCAAGCCATTAAATGAATAGGCTTCATAGCGCAGCGCGAGGACGTTTTGTGCCACGCACACTCGTTCCGGCTCACGAGTCGGCCAAACAGTAACGTTACGTTTTGAGTGGATGACGAGCGAGTTTACTTTTAAAAAGTTGCCAAATTGTCCCATTGACAAGACCAAGTGATCTGTGTTTTGTCATTGTGAACTGAGCTATCATCATCATCGCAGCACGTCCAGTCTGAACACCACTTGATGATGGCCAAGCAAACACACACAGATGATGCAAATTCTCCACCCTCTCGTCAATATCAGGACCTCGTCAGTATTACTTTCACCCTTTTTGTTGATGGACAGTGGTACATTGTGTGAGAAATTATTTATGTGTTAGTGTGAAATTGAACACTATTCCAATGTTATTTTCAGTAATAATAATAAAAAAAACATTTGCTCTAAACAAGCCAATCCACTTTTCCATGTTGATAAGAGCATTAAAATGAGAAAAAATAATGTAACAAAAAGAAATCAAAAGACATTTAGAATAGATTCAAATGTGCGATTAATTGGCTTTATGCACAGCTGCACTACTTCCTGAACTTTAGCCAGCTCCTTGTTTCCTGTCTGCCATTATTGGCCAAGCTTGATTAATTCAGGTGTGTCTGATTATTGTTGCCGTGACTACTGAGGTCAGGCACACCTGAACTAATCAATTTGTCCAATAATGGCAGACAGGAAACAAGGAGCTGACTTAAGTTCAGGAAGTAGTGCAGCTGTGCATAAAGCCAATTGCTAGTTAACTATGACATTAATGCGATTAATCGCAATTAAATATTTGAATCGTTTGACGGCACTAGTTTTTAGGTAATCGTGTAAAGCGATGAAAGGAACAGTTTGCGACCATTCTAATGTTTTAGCGTTCATAAATTGGACAAAGTTGTTTGCAATGTCATGTTGAGCAGGATTCATTTGTACTGTTCCTGTTCTGACAGCACGCACGAATTAGTCATGGGAGAAAAAAAACTCTTTAGAGGTAGAACGGCCTTACCCTGTTTGTCCAGCAACACACTCAAACCACACAATTCAGAGTCAACCATTGTCAAGCTGCACTGCAATGATGTTTCCTGTTGACTGCAGTGCTTCAGCTTTTACACTCTGCACTGATATGCTCATTTTTCTTGTCTAAAATGATGCAGGTCATTGGCTTCCTATTACTTTGTCCTTCGTGTACACAGTACATTTTTGGTAAGATGAATATTGCTGACCACACCTGCACCCTCTCACACCACAGCGTGTCAAACATGAGCTGACACCAAACTTCTTCACAAATGCTGCTTCTCTCAAGTGTGCCAAATCCCATTGAAAAGCGTAAAATAACATTTCAGCCTTAAACAGAATGGCCTTTGATATTTTCACCTTAGGTTAAGGCTAGCAAAGAAAACAAAGTCTTTCAGGCAGACGCTTAAGCTTTACATATCCAGGGAAAAGCTGTGGATTTGGGGTGCTGACTAAGGTCCTCAACTTCGTTGAAAGGGGAAGTCTGTCTGATTTATTCTGTGCTGGGGTATTCCTCTTGGGGTGTTTGAGGAAAGGGATCCTGATCATTTCAGTTAGTTAGTGGAATGAGGCCCAGCTTTCTCTCTAAAACGCTCTCTTTTCAGATAAAGGCTGTTTTCAGAGTCAGATTTTAAAATATTTATTTTCCAAATTCATACATAACAGAGCAAGTGGTGCATCTGTTGATCTAACTAATTTGATGTTTGTTTTTTTCTTCTTTCAGTATTATGTGCCAAGAATCTGGCAAAGAAAGACTTCTTCCGTAAGTATAACTCATTTTACCTCCTCATTCATTATTTTAATCCTTTGTGTACCTTAAAAATGTGTTCACACTAAAATTAAAATGTTTCCTTTTGGTGGCCCTCTTTCACTGCAGACCTGCATGTTATTACAATAAATTGGGCTTTGAATCTTTAAAAATGGACAGAAATGCTTCTCCGAAGAAGTTCATGACAATTGACCACTGCATTCATAGTTTACGAATGCAATCTGGTAACTTTTTGAGAGAGAGAGAGAGATACTGCTGTGAATTTGATCAACCATTTCATCGAAAATATCCTATTTGTGAATTGAATTTTTCTTCGAGATATCAATGCTTCTCTCTTTAACTTTCATAAATGTGCCAAGGAGAGTATGAGTGGGTCATCAGTGAATAATAACTAATGTTTTGGTCTGTTATTGCATTATTTCAGAAGACTTGAAATGTGGAGCATGCATTGTTAACCACTTCAGTAATGCATTCAGTTGCGTTTAAAGTTCACATTTATATTGAAAAGAGTAGCCAGGTTTTTCCTCAAATTAACATTTTTTGTTTCATATAGAGTCAAAGGAGTTTGGAATGTCATGTATGTGACGACATTTTCGGTGAACTTTTACTCTACTTTAAATCCTTCACATTCGCAGAATTGGCTGTATAGGAGCTGTTTGTGATTCTGTAGCTCTGGAACATTAGAGCTTCTCTCCTCTGAGTTGTTTAGAGCCGCCCACTGGCTGCTTTTATCACTGGGGGAATTCACATCCTCATTCAGTGGCTCCTCATCAGATTCCACCCACTTCAGCATGAGGACACTTCACTGTTCTGGAGCCTGGGCTCTCGGTCCCAGCTGTTCTGACTGACAGGCTTGTTTGCCCCACTGGCCTCGTCAGTGTGTGTCCCACATATTATTCAAATGTCTGGTGTGCGTCATTCATAGATCCTCTTTCTGTGCCATGGCCATTATGCTTCTCGTATAACAAAAGGCTCATGACAATGTATGACGAAGACAGGCAAAACAAGTCCAATTGTCCCTGGTAATTATACAGTGAATTATTAGTATTTATGTTTTACAGCAGATGCAGTATGCATTTTTAAGTAGTCTTTTTCTCCCCACTCAAATAATTTCAGTTAAAAGACTAAAAGACCACCAACTGAATGGTTCACACAGCATGTGACTTTCAATAACCCTAAGCAAAACGCATTGCCAAGTCTATAACTAAGCAACACAATACAGGACTAAAATTATCACAAATGTGAGATAAAATTAAACATTCACAACAGTAATTAAAATATAATTGCAGTTGGCAACAAACTGGAAAATGACTGTTGATGTGTTTTTTGCGGATTTCATCTTAGTCATGATGTCATATATGCTAAAAAAAAAAAAATTACTCTTTTGAGCTGGTTGTTTTAATAAATCAGTCAAGCAAGCACCTTCACGAATCAGTCTCATACTAAGTTTTCAGTTTGAATAATCTATCACCTCATTAAGAAACATCCAAATATGTAATCATAACAAATACTGTTGGTTGTTGTTTTAGCATGTACACTAACATGTACTGTTCAGTCACCTATGCCAACCAATTGTAAGTTGGGATCTGTATTAGTGGAGAATTTTGCTTGGGTGTGGTCAGTGACATGTTGGAACAATTTTTTAGTCAGGCCAAAATACTCTCAAGGCTGGAATACACTACATGACTTTTGCCCAAATTGCCAAAAGTCAGCTTGTAGCTCCCAAGAGTCGTCGTTTTGCAGATAGTGGCCTGTCGGATTTGACAGATTTTTTACAGAAAGTTGTGTAGTGTATGATGGGCACATTTACTTTCCACTTTTATACTTTTTTTTTGCTTACTATGAATATACCCAGTGAAATATTTGATATTTTGAGCTGATTTTAGAAGATGTTGATTTAATTTGCCACACATCTCCTGACAACAAGGCACGTGTTTCTTGCGTGTTGTTCATTCAAAATTATGGTGGTAATTGATGCTCAGTTGTTTAGTCGTGTATGATGCCTAGTTTCTTTTTATGAAAACATAGTCATAAAAAGTATAATGCCTAGTGTTTTCACACTAAAAATCATGTAGTATATTCCAGTCTTTACAGAACAGTGACATTTATGCAGCATGGATACAGTCAAAATCCCTGGAGTGACCGCATCAAGGAGGAACACAATTTTAGACTAACCAATGCATGTGAAATGGATTACAGAGACTTTAGTAATGTGGTAGCTCCATGGTCATTCTTACGGGCAGTTGCAGCCTAATTGTTAGAGAGTCTGACTTGAAACCCAAAGGTTGTGGGTTGGAGTCTCAGTACTGGCAGGAAATGTAGGTGGAGAGTGAATGAACAATGCTCTCTACCACCTTCATTACCTGCAATTGAGGTGCCCTTGTGCCCATAATCGCTCACGTGACACCCCAGCAAAAATGGCTGCCCACTGTGTTTGTGTTCAATACTCATTGGTATGTGTGTGTGCACTTGGAGGGGTGAAAAGCAGAGCATAAATTCTGTGTATGCGAAACAATACTTGGTGACACGTGACGTCACATCACCTTTTTGGTCTAGGGCTCTGGAGAAAACAAAAAATCCAAACATTTGCAGTCTATCTAAATTCTTGGAGCTGTCATTGTGGAAGCTGCTTAGCTGTCCAGATTGTACATATTCTTTCAGAGGACAGTGTGTGACGGCCGAGTTTGTCCCCTGTTGTTTATTTGTATTCCTGCCACACTGTCGTTCTGCTGCAGGGTTGCCTGATCCTTTCGCCAAAGTGGTGGTGGATGGCTCGGGTCAATGCCACTCTACAGACACGGTCAAAAGCACATTGGACCCCAAGTGGAATCAGCATTACGACTTGTGAGCAAATTTCCTTACTAACAGCATTTTTTTAATGTTCTTAGTGGTATTCATAATGTTGTGCACTTTCAGTCATTTAGTTAATCTTTAAAATAATGTTAGCTAGTTATTTGAAACAGAAGTTCACTGGAGGAACTTGCTAAATGGATTTTTTCCGCAGGTATATTGGGAAGACAGACTCAATCACCATTAGTGTATGGAACCATAAGAAGATCCATAAGAAGCAAGGGGCGGGTTTCTTAGGCTGTGTCCGGCTCCTGTCCAACGCCATCAGCAGACTAAAAGACACGGGCTGTGAGTGTGACACTTTTTATAGCCTGCCGTAATCTCTTCATTGTGCCTTATCACGGTGGTTAATCGTTTCTCTGCATTCTATAAAAGTTTGATAATTTCTTACATCAAAATTTTGATTACACCATATTATCCGTCTCGCCATCAGACCAGCGTTTAGACTTGTGCAAGTTGAACCCATCTGACAGTGATGCCGTGCGTGGACAAATCGTTGGTATGTATTGAATTGTATGTATTGGTAGAACTTGTACAAGCTTAACTCCATTTAGCTTGTACAACTTTTCAGGTACAATGGCCCCAAAACGCATTTAGCAACTTCAGCAACACTTTTAAATGGATGTCTTTGCACTGGATAACAAAATATCAAACCAGGTGTTCATTTTAAGCAAAGATAACACAAGTATTCAAAACATTTAAGATGACATTTTACATCCATAAAAGTGTAATTCTGAAAAAAATTATATTTTGTTCTTAATGCAGTTTAGTTCATACTTTTTTTTATGTATGGTTTAAATTTCCAAATACTTTGTGATAATATAAATTCTCAAATGAAAAACAATTGTTCATCACTAAATCTGTTCTCACATTTCTGCTAAATGTAAAGCCTCAATGTGAAGACTGTTCTTAACCGTTTTCTTCACTTTTGTAGTGAGCCTGCAAACCAGAGACCGAATTGGCAGTGGAGGGCCTGTGGTCGACTGTAGAGGACTAGTAGAGAATGAAGGGTGAGTCGTCTTCTGTCCTGAGGATACACATTTATTTAGTACTGGAACTGATAGATAAAATAGGAAGCACTTTATTTGAGCTTCCTAAAGACCCGCTAGTTTCACACTTCATCACTGTTTAATCATCAATACTTAGTCTGTACATTTGGCCCAGACGATTGTAAGACGATCATGATATTACCTATCCACACCTACTGTATGTGGCCTGTGTTAAATCAGCTGAAAAGTCATTCTGGAAATGTTACATGAAAATTATTACATGTCATGAAAGATAATGAAATGACTTATTTGTGTAGGATAGGTCCTGAGACAGTTGTTGAAATATTAGGGGCAGTTTTTTATTGTCTTTAATGTTTGTGTGTCTGTGTGCTGATGTAGCTGGGTTTTCACATCTGATCTGTATATGTTTTAGGCCGGTTTTTGAGGATTCGGGGCCCGGGCGGCCTCTCAGCTGCTTCATGGAGGAGCCCATGCCATACACAGATCCCACAGGGGCCGCAGGCGGAGGTAACTGCCGTGCACTTGAGTCACCCAATCAGGAGCAACGACTCCAAGCACAACGGATCAGAAACCAAGATTCCCGAGGGCACGCACACACACCTCAAAACAGACCACACGGACACCAGTCCCCTGACCTCCCTGAGGGCTATGGTAAGTGTGTGCGTTTTAGCAATGAGTCAGCATGATCGAGTTAATGAAGTTTACATATGAAGAGTTCAGATGCAAAAGCCTCGAAGTGCCATTTGAAATTTTCTTGTAAAATGATAATTTTTATCAAGCTTGTATATTTAAGTTCAGTAATTTCACTTAAATGGCAATGAAGATTACCTATTAATTGTCATTTAAGTGAAATTACTGAACTTAAATATACAAGCTTGATAAAAATCATCATTAAAGAAGAAAATTTCAAATGGCATTTAGAGGCTTTTGCATCTGAACTCTTCATATATATATATATATATATGTGTGTGTATATATACGTATATATATATATATGTGTGTATATATATATGTATATATATGTATGTATGTATGTATATATGTGTGTTTGTGTATATATTAGGGCTGTGCAAAAATTAATTGCGATTAATCGCATCCAAAATAAAAGTCTGTGTTTACATAATATATGTGTGTGTGCTGTATATAATTATTTTGTATATATAAATACACACACATGCATGTATATATTTAAGAAAATGTGTTATTCATATATAAAATATTTATATTTATATAATATAGATTATGTATTTATAAATATATACAGAATTTAAGCGCAAATAATTCTTAAATATATACATGCATGCATAGGTATTTATATATACAAAATAATTATATACAGCACACACAAATATATTATGTAAACACAGACTTTTATTTTGGATGCGATTAATCGCAATTAACTTTTGCACAGCCCTAGTATATATATATATATATATATATATATATATATATACATATGTATATATATTATATATATATATATGTATTATTAAATGTATATTATATTAAATATATATTTTATATATCTTTTTTTTAATCAAATTGTTTTAGCTCTTTATTTTTAGTGCTGGTGCTTATCAATACACTTCAAATCACCTGGTGTGAGCAATTTTCCTGTCATTATTTTTAATCTGCAAGTCACTGATTTTTTTTTTTTAAAGTGATAATTTTGCAATAAAAGATTTATATATAAATATTTCTCAAAAAATATGCAGTTTGCTCTTCTCAGTGTGTACCGTATACATGATCTCTTACCCTCAGTACTGCTGAAGTCCACTGAGACTAATACAGCTTAGTGCTCTGGGTAGAGGCTACTGAAGTGCAGTGAACCGGAGAGACTGAGCTCTGAAAGAAGTCTATTCTATGTGGCACTGCTGCTTTAGCTGAGCCGTGTGGCTATTGCGGCCCGCAATATACAGGTGGATTGGTTGTGGTAAAGCCTCTCATTGGAGTGTAACCGTGCCTGACCCTGCTGGTGTTGTGGTCGAGTCCTCTGCCGTGACCAGTGGACAGCGCCAGTGTAATTAAATCTCAGACTAGACATGCCACACTAGCTGTGTGCAGTCTGAGAACTGGATGCTCAGCGTCCCATTGCAATAGCCCTGGCGCTCATTCAGGTTACGTGTAAACGTCTGTCTGAGTTAGCTGTTGCTCATTCACTCTTGACATGTGTCTCTTCTCTTTTCTAATTCAGAGCAACGGACCACTGTGCAGGGCCAGGTCTATTTTCTGCACACACAGACTGGCGTGAGCACCTGGCATGATCCCAGAATACCCCGGTAGGTTTAATCACCACCCGCCTTTGCTGAAATAACGATTGCCCCTGTTTGATTTCTCCTCACTGCCATTGTGATACCGCTCTAATCATAGCTCTTTAATGTCCACAATCAGCTAACTTGATCATCAGCAATCTCACTTAATAGCTGCTACTGTTGACAGTGCAAGGCTTGATAATTTGCTCATCATCGTGGTGATGATTTCAGGAGCATCAGGAAAGACAGCCTGTTAGTGATGGGAACAACTCAGGGTGGGAAATCGACACATGCTTATTGCACAGTGGCAGGCTATTTTACCTTATCCTTCACTGTAGCGTGTGACCTCAAATGGGCCTTTTTTTAGATTGGCCCAACAACATACTTGTATATTAAACATGCACGTGTAATGTTTTGAAAAAGTACTTACTGTATTTCAAGTTATACAGGGATTCTCAGCTTTAATGTCTGTCCAAACTTGTAAAAGGCTTCAATCAGTTGTTGAGGGTGCATGGAAAAACTCAAAAAATCTTGATCACTGATGGACTTTATTGAGGATCTTCCAGACAACAAGTTGATGATCTTAATTAATTTTCTTAAATTCAGTTGTAAATCATATGTTTGGCTGAACCAGTAGTGTATCATAAAGTTGATGAATACATTGTGGCTTTTCCCAGCTGTCCTTAAACTAACTCGGCATACAGAGTTTAGCATCTTTCTCCTTTGGTTTTATAACCAGTATCACCAACTTGGAAAGGGAAAGCATGTCTGCTTCACAAAAAAAAATATATCTCTGCACTCTGGGACTCACACACACCTGCTTCTGTGTGACATGTGCACGTTCACTGGCCAATCGGATTCTTTGCTTCTCCCACATTGCACTTTGTGCTCACAACCGATAGTTTCCATTCTTTTTAATCTCTGGTCTAAACTTGTTACTCATTTTATCTTTATTTCAAGTTTAGCTTAACTCTGCGGACTATTAGCTGGATCTTTAGTTGCGCCACCATCTCTGTAAATAAGACGAGTCTGTCTGATTGGTGGGCATCTTTGCCATGTAATGCCGTTGAAAATGCAGCTTTTTTCTATTTGGGCAATAAGTTCTAGCTCTATTTGAATGGACAATAGTTATATTCAGCAAGGATGCATTGAACTGATCAAAAGTCACTGTTTAGACTGTTATAGTGTTACAAAAGATTTCTATTTAAAATAAACGCTTAACTTTCTATTCATCCAAAAAAAAAAAAGAAAAGAATAAATTGCGTTTCAAAATAAAAAGAAAGAGAACATTAAATAGAGAACGTTTATTTTAAATTGTAATATTATTTCAACAAATAAGGCAATTTCCCGCCTAGGAAGAGGGTAAAGAGGCAGAGTTTTAGGTCGCCATTATATATGTGTTGAGCAGCAGGTGTGATGGGTGCGCTTGCTCCTTCAGGGATTTGAACAGCGTGAGTTGTGAGGAGCTGGGCCCTCTGCCGCCCGGCTGGGAGATCAGGAGCACTGTGTCAGGACGAATTTATTTTGTCGACCACAATAATAGAACCACGCAATTCACCGACCCCAGGTTACACCACATCATGAGGTAAAACATCTTTCACATCGGCTCTGCTCATAACATCTGATTACTCATCCCAGCTCTTAAATTATCCTGTTAATTATTCACCACAATGAATAAATCATCCTTGTGTAATTAAACTTGCTAGTAATGATTGTTGCTTGCTCGTGTAAGGGTTTATTAAATTAATTCTCAACATTTAATTCTTAATCGTCCCTGGTGGGAGTGTAACCCAAATGATGCATGAAAATGGGATTGTCTAGTGGTTTGATTATACTGCTATGAAAGTGCGGAGGTATAGGTTCACCTGATATTGGTGTGTGTTTTCCACGTGATGAGCAGCCAGCACTCTCAGGTGAAGGAGTCGAGCCAAGCTCTGCCCGTACAGATGGAGGTTGGTATTGAGGAGGGTGACGGGGAGTTACCAGTGCGCTACGAGAGAGATCTGGTCCAGAAACTTAAAGTTCTCCGTCATGAGCTCTCCCTGCAGCAGCCTCAGGCCGGCCACTGCCGCATAGAAGTGTCCCGTGAGGAGATCTTTGAGGTACTCTAACAGCACTGTTGAACTGTTTTTGTCATTTGGAAGTGACTGTGATGTATGCTTCATGATTAGGTTTGCTCACCATTTGGTCTCTGAGAGTAGGATCCAAATGTAGTATCTTTCATTTTTGGTCATAGCAACATAAGACAGATGATTTTAGCAGAGTATATTTTTACTTTATTTACTTTAATACACATTGCTGGTTTTATTGTATAAGATTCATCGCTGCACGTTATTCCAAAGGAAAAAAAAACGTGTTTGTAATTTCATCCCATTGTACACAAACATTCAATAGTTTGGGGTCTGTAAGATGTTTTTGAAAGAAGTCTGTTATGATCACCAAGACTGCATTTATTTGCTCAAAATATAGTTAGAACAGTCATAATTTAAAAAAAATGAATACAATGAAAACTAATATTATTACATATATATATATATATATATATATATATACACAGTGTGTATATATATATGAAGAGTTCAGATGCAAAAGCCTCTAAATGCCATATGAAATTTTCTTCTTTAATGATGATTTTTATCAAGCTTGTATATTTAAGTTCAGTAATTTCACTTAAATGGCAATGATAATTACCTATTAATTGTTATTTAAGTGTAATTACTGAACTTAAATATACAAGTTTGCTAAAAATCATCATTAAAGAAGAAAATTTCAAATGGCATTTAGAGGCTTTTGCATCTGAACTCTTCATATATATATATATCAGCAAGGATATATATATATTATATTTTATATATATATATATATATATATATATATATATAATAGCAGCAAGGATATATATATATATATATATATATATATATAAATAGCAGCAACGATATATATATATATATATATATATATATATTTAAGATTTATCAGCGCTCAGCATTTATATGTATACATTTTTATAACATTTTAAATGTCTGTATTGTCATTTTTGGTCAATTTTCCTTGCTGATTTAGAGACCCCATACTTTTGAACAGTTATGTAGTTACTTGCTTTTTAAAACATCCTTTTAAAATTTGCAACTGCTTTAGTTCGCCAAATATCAATGTAAACATAATTTGAGGCTAGTTTAGAATTTGTTTAATTTATTATTGTTTAAAGGGATAGTTCACCCGAAAATGAAAATTAGGTCATATTTAACTCATCCTGCTGTTCTAATGTTGTATGGCCTTCTTTCTTTTATGGAACACAAAAGAAGAAATTAACAAAAATTGTCCTGCTCATACTAATAGCAGTGACCAGACCCCAGCATCACACTTTTTAAAAAAGACGTAAAGGTATGTCAGAATGATCCCATGCAACACGTGCTGTATATTATACAAGAGGGTTTGGTGAAAAACAAAACAAAATTTTATTTATTTAATGAAAATCCTGACCTTGGCTGAGACTCTAGACTCTATTAGCTCTGCAGTTTACTCCCGACTCGCTCCGACACACTAGTTGTGAGAAATCAAGATCAACAAAAACACAACATAAAATACAATGACTAGAAAACTAGAAAACTCCCCAAAAACTATCCTTGAGCTTAATTACTTCATTGAGTTAAATATTTCCGTTTGTCTGATGACAGTCAGAATGGCGGTTGACGGATGCGATAACTTTGTTACGATGAACACAACGTATTTCATGTGACGTTTTTGTTGAAAAAAAATAAATAAAAACATAAATTGGTCTAATTTGATACTAAAAGTAAGACTGAATTTTCCTTGACCAACTGTGCTATACTAGATACTGAGACACTGTCTTAATATAATGGCTATGATGTTTACGCAACTGGCCCTAGGGTGAATAAAAGACTCAATTTTAGGGTGAACTATCCCTTTGGTTATGTATAATTTATGACAATTAATGTTTCACTCATACAGTAATTGCATCTTATTATGGATCTGAAATGTGTTGTGTTGTTTTGTCACTGCTCTAAGTGCTGCTCTATCTGTGCAATAGGAGTCTTATAGACAGATCATGAAGATGAGACCCAAAGACCTGAAGAAGCGGCTGATGGTGAAGTTTAGAGGAGAGGAGGGGCTGGATTACGGTGGTGTTGCTAGGTAGCATATGAATCTGTTCCATATGAAAGGTTCTCATTAATTAATTTCCCCTGTGCCTCATTATTCCCCCATCTCTTTTCATACACCAGACTTGACTTTATAATTTCAACAGTTTAGCTGAATCTCAGCCAGGCTTATCAGCATGCAGGGTATCATGTTCACGATATTACAGGTGTTCCCCTGTTGAGCACAGAGCTTAGATTGAACTACTGCCAGCAAGACTCAAATATGAGCATCTTCTATAAAAGTCAATCTGAATTCCTGTCTTATTCCAGGGAATGGTTATATCTTCTCTGCCATGAGATGCTGAATCCATACTACGGCCTGTTTCAGTACTCAACTGATAACATCTACACACTACAGATAAACCCAGATTCATCCATCAACCCTGTAAGTCATTCAGTGGCCTATGCTTGGGATTTCTCTCTTAAAAACGACCCAGTAAATCAGTATGCTGTGAAGAAGTTTAGCAAAGGCAGTGCTGCTTGGACCTTGCGGTCATCATCTGTGCTTTAAAAGATTGACTCTGCTGCAGGGTCTCATTAACTTTCCTGTCACGCCCTCTGCTGTTTTTTTCAGGACCACTTGTCTTACTTCCACTTTGTTGGGCGGATTATGGGTCTGGCTGTTTTCCACGGGCACTACATTAATGGAGGCTTCACCTTGCCCTTCTACAAGCAGCTCCTAGGGAAGCCCATCCAGCTTTGTGACCTTGAGACTGTGGACCCAGAGCTGCACAAGAGCCTCGTCTGGATCCTGTGAGTGAATTTCACGAGTCTTTAAGACTAAAGAGAGGGTGCAGGCTTTTCTACACCACTGTTGTTCCTGTCACACTTGAAAGACTCTTAAAGTGCACAAGCCAGAATGTGACAAATAAAATTCAAGATTATTTTAAAAGTAACCTATAATTCTTATTGTTTAGCATTAAAATAAATACATTAAAATAGTAATTTAAATATCTGCACAACAAGTTAAAATGATACACCAGCTTGTTGCTATTATGATTTTCCAAATGTTATAATAAAGCCTTTAAAACTATGTAATGACACAATAATAGGAAGTTTGTGTGTCTATGTTTCTACACATTACAATATTTAACAATTTCAATGGGGTTTTTTTGTGTGTGCTGCTTCTAATGTATTCTCATTTAAATGTAAAAACTCTTGGAATGATTTTGGGTTCATTGTGGCCAAACAAACAGCTTGATATTTATGGATTGTTAATGGGTAGCCTGTTGAATGTAAGCAACAGTATGAATAACTTTGCAATACGTTTCTTGTGTTTTTCAGAGAAAATGACATCACATCTGTTTTGGACCATACCTTCTGCGTAGAACATAATGCTTTTGGCAAGTTCCTCCAACATGAGCTGAAACCAAACGGCAAGAACATCCCAGTCACAGAGGAGAACAAGAAAGAATATGTGAGGTATGAAGAGGAGCAAGCTTGTGTACTACCAGGCACAGCAGATTCATAACCGCTCTCTCAGAGACGGACAGCCAGCAGAGGGCAGCACTCACCCTGGATAAAGGGGCTTGGCAGACGTTTTAGGAAGCTCACTGCTTTTTCCCCTGTTAATTTGATTGAGTGAACCCTGGATATATAAGCTACCGATCAAGAATGTTAGTGGGATGTCAATCTTCGAGTCTTCGTTGTGTGCGAGTCATTGCCAAATAGAAAAGAATCGGAGTTTGTAAATGGAGAACTGTGGGGCACGGTTGCCTTGTAAGTGTTCTTCATGTTCCACTGCAGATCTCTAATGATTGATTCTGTCCCTATTAGGCTATATGTCAACTGGAGGTTCATGCGAGGCATTGAGGCCCAGTTCCTCGCCCTGCAGAAGGGCTTCAACGAACTCATACCACAGCATCTACTCAAGCCTTTTGACAACAAGGAACTTGAGGTAATTCCAACATTTCAGACACGCTGACGAAGAGACTGTTCTGAATAATATCAATCGTAACACTAATAATGACATTTCAACCAGACAGCTATAATAGCCAACAAACTTAAACGATTAGCAAAATGCAAGAGGCACAATACAGTAATAACAAGTTTAATAAATTTAGGCTGCAATTATTTGATTAATATACAATAGGAACAGTATTACTGTGAAATATTGCAATTTAAAACAACTCTTTTCTATTTGAGTATTTTAAAATACTGAATGAACTGAAATAATGCAGTTCATTCCAGTGATGTCAAAGCTGCATTTTCAGCATCAGTTTCAGAGTCACATGATCCTTCAGAAATCATTCTAAAATGTTGATTTTTCTGCTCAAGAAACACTTCTTATAATTATTAATAGTAGAAAATCACATTTTTATGAATTTAATGCATTCTTTTTGCTAAATAAAGTAATTTTTTCAACAACAAAAAAAAGATGTTACTGACCTCAACCAGATAGTCGGTTGGTGTATCTTCATCAAACATATTGCAAATAGGTATGATGAATAATAGCTCATATAGGCCTGGCTCTCTCAAAATGAATGTTTGTTTCTCTCTGCGTTTTAGCTGATCATTGGTGGTTTGGGGAAGATCGATCTGAGCGACTGGAAGGCCAACACGCGGCTGAAGCACTGTGTGGCTGACAGTAACATAGTGAAGTGGTTCTGGCAGGCGGTTGAATCGTTTGATGAGGAGAGGAGAGGCAGACTGCTACAGTTCGTCACGGGCTCCACACGCGTCCCTCTACAAGGCTTCAAAGCACTGCAAGGTGGCTAATGGTTAAGCCATGTGCACTTTAATATACCTGACATATTGTTCTTGTCAAAACTTCCTAGTCCGCCACTATTCAGTTTGTATTGGCCTTCACCCTAATGAAAAATTCCCTTACTAACGGAAACATGAAACCCATATTTATCAATTGTCCCAGTTCTTATTATGCAGACTAACATTTAGCTTTCACAGGTTCGCCAACCAAACAAATCTCACGCCCAACCCTAGATTACTTCCTGCTGAATAATCTGATTCACTTTTGACTAAATGGAATCTACAGCTGTGAATGTGTCTTTGTAAAGTAGTTTGTGGTCATGCTCACTTCTGTTGAGTGTGGTGATTTGGAGAACAGTGATAACTAGAATGTATCTTTGTAAGGTTCTACAGGTTCTGCAGGACCAAGACTCTTCACTATTCATTTAATTGATGCCAACACAGACAACTTGCCCAAAGCCCACACATGGTAAGATTTAGCTAATTAAAGATGCAGAAGATCTGTTGTTTTCAAAAAATGTAAATGCACACTTGCTATTGTCTTTTAAAGAGAGCATGTCATATGATGAATCCAACTTTGCTTGATCTTTTTATATCGTTTTATTTGTGATTTCAAATGTCCCATGCAAAGGTTTGTGTTCAGTAAGACCTTTTGAAAGAAATGAGTACTTTTATTCAGCAAATTGATTTATAGTGATATTAAATATATTTATAATGTTACAAAAGATTTCTTTTTTAAATAAATGCTGTTCTTTTGAAATCTAAGTTAATGATAATAAGAAATGTTTTCTTGAACACCAAATGAGCATATTTTATTATAGAGGGAATGCGTCGGCCGGAGTGCCTGCAGTTACTCACAGTGAGTGGCAAAAAGACTGAGCGGCTGTATTTGTTTTCAGCGTGAATGCCGCGAAAAACAAACACAACGCATGTAAAGTGGGAAAGAGCTTTGCGATTGACTGTACAACTAGATTTGACAAAAAAAATCGACGGTATATTTTCACAGACTACTATAGAAGGAGCTGCAATTCACAGAAACAACTGGACTCCAGTCAGCGAAAGGTGGATTTGCAGTTATCTTTTTGTGTCGATATGCTGAATTTAGGTGTAAAACCATTCCCATATATTTTGTATTGTTTTTTATATATATATATATATATATATATATATATATATAATATTCTGCATTATTGGATGTTTTTTTAATAAACACTGACCAAAAAAAAATCTATAAAGTTTTAGGGCTGGACGATATGATATATATATATACACTCACCGGCCACTTTATTAGGTACCCCATGCTAGTAACGGGTTGGACCCCCTTTTGCCTTCAGAACTGCCTCAATTCTTCGTGGCATAGATTCAACAAGGTGCTGGAAGCATTCCTCAGGGAGTTTGGTCCATATTGACATAATGGCATCACACAGTTGCCGCAGATTTGTCGGCTGCACATCCATGATGCGAATCTCCCGTTCCACCACATCCCAAAGATGCTCTATTGGATTGAGATCTGGTGACTGTGGAGGCCATTTGAGTACAGCGAACTCATTGTCATGTTCAAGAAACCAGTCTAAGATGATTCCAGCTTTATGACATGGCGCATTATCCTGCTGAAAGTAGCCATCAGAAGTTGGGTACATTGTGGTCATAAAGGGATGGACATGGTCAGCAACAATACTCAGGTAGGCTGTGGCGTTGCAACGATGCTCAATTGGTACCAAGGGGCCCAAAGAGTGCCAAGAAAATATTCCCCACACCATGACACCACCACCACCAGCCTGAACCGTTGATACAAGGCAGGATGGATCCATGCTTTCATGTTGTAGACGCCAAATTCTGACCCTACCATCCGAATGTCGCAGCAGAAATCGAGACTCATCAGACCAGGCAACGTTTTTCCAATCTTCTATTGTCCAATTTCGATGAGCTTGTGCAAATTGTAGCCTCAGTTTCCTGTTCTTAGCTGAAAGGAGTGGCACCCGGTGTGGTCTTCTGCTGCTGTAGCCCATCTGCCTCAAAGTTCGACGTACTGTGCGTTCAGAGATGCTCTTCTGCCCACCTTGGTTGTAACGGGTGGTTATTTGAGTCACTGTTGCCCTTCTATCAGCTCGAACCAGTCTGGCCATTCTCCTCTGACCTCTGGCATCAACAAGGCATTTCCGCCCACAGAACTGCCGCTCACTGGATGTTTTTTCTTTTTCGGACCATTCTCTGTAAACCCTAGAGATGGTTGTGCGTGAAAAACCCAGTCGATTAGCAGTTTCTGAAATACTCAGACCAGCCCTTCTGGCACCAACAATCATGCCACCTTCAAAGTCACTCAAATCACCTTTCTTCCCCATACTGATGCTCGGTTTGAACTGCAGGAGATTGTCTTGACCATGTCTACATGCCTAAATGCACTGAGTTGCCGCCATGTGATTGGCTGCTTAGAAATTAAGTGTTAACGAGCAGTTGGACAGGTGTACCTAATAAAGTGGCCGGGGAGTGTATATATATATAGGCTATATATAACACTGATATAAGTGATCACCCGGATTTAGACCTACCTATATTGTATTTATATAAAGCGTTCACAGGCAAATTTGATTTATGTTTAGGTCTATATTGCTTTTATTTCCCTGGTGTCGAAATCAGGCAAACATAAATGTCAGGAAACACGATTCCTCGCTGCATGTCAATATCCATGGATCACTGTATCTTTAGTAAGTTGTAAGGAACACTATATTGAGTCCAACATTTAGTTTAAATTGTTAAAAATTTAGTCACATTTTCGCAGTTTCCCCTATTAAATCCAGTCAAGCCGCAGATCTTTTGCCACTCAGTCAGGCTGAAGGTGCTTGTTCCGGCGGGAAAGTGACGTCAATGCATTCCCTCTATTTATATGCATCTGTTTCTTAAAGGCACGGTAGTAAAAAAAATCAAATAAAGGCCACTATTTGGCACTTTACTAAAATAAAAGTCAGTTTATAAATGTTAACTACAGAAATGCATGATAGGACTCAATCAAGATGGAATCAAGTCAAGGCTAATGCTGAAATACTGATCTCACTCCTCACATATTCTTTCAGCTTTAACCGAATCGACATCCCGCCTTACGAGTCCTACGAGAAGCTCTATGAGAAGCTCCTAACGGCCGTGGAGGAGACGTGTGGCTTTGCAGTGGAGTGAGCGAGCGCCCTTTCCAGCCAGCCAGCAATGGCAGCAAACCCACCAAACAGCCCCAGCCATCCCTCTCACCCCCTCCCCTTCACCAGGACAGACAGACAGACAGACTGGTGTCTTCTGACAGACTTTAGCATCACCCGCCAGTCTGAGACTGCAGCGGAGGGGAGCGAAGGGCAAAACTCTCAGACTAATGATTCCTCACGGTGTGATTCGGTAATCGTTTTCACATTACCACGTAAGTTACGGAGAAATCGGATCAACGTTTATTTTGTTTCTCCAAAAATGCAGTTTGTATTGTCTTTGTCACTGAAGCGGTGGGTTGATAGCATATGACTGTAACGCGAGTATGTTTGTGCTGCAGTATGTAGAGCCTCGCTGAGCCTGTGGTCTACATGAAGTAGAGCCCATGTTTTAGTCTAGGTGGAGTATATTAACATACGCAGAGCCTGTGACCATTAAACCAGTTTACCTACAGCAAATGTGTCTCGAAGGACAAGGGTGGTCTGCATTGTCATGCTCTGTATGTTTGTAACTTCTTCAGTTGTTTCCGTAATTATTTTATTTCCTCGCATCCTGTTCAGTACTATAGGATGGCATTTCAGTGGTATCCATTTCCTGTTCTCATTGTAGAAATTTTAACTCGATTGCTTGAAATGTTTTTTTGTCTACGATCAAGAACGTCCTTAACGGCGAGTCTTAGGCCTCTTGTGGGAACTGTGAATGTAACAGCGCCCATGTGTTAATGTTCTTCAGCTGAAGCACAACGATCATGTGCAGGACTCAAAGCCCTTGCAAAGTCAGCGGTTTCCAGAGTGAGCCAGTATTTTCGTTGCATACATTATTTTTTTTTTTAATCCAATGAGCATTCCTCCGTTGTCAACAAAATACCTACTTTTTTAATGGTAATGCTAAATGAATGGTGTTTTAATATGCCGATTTTGAAGCGAGTCTACTTCTGTGTCACCTTCTTGAACAACATTCGAATCCATTGCGTCCGACCGTAAATACCTAAACCGGACTCGTTACCTTAGTTTCGCGAAGAAAACGGATGTCGAATGTTTTAAAGGAGCTCTTTTTGTCCTTAATTTTGATGGACCCTGTTAATCTTTTCCTAAATGAATCTAGCCATAATCATATGGTAACTTAGCATTAACTGTTTTAACTTATCGTACTATCAAAAATCACCTTCGGACTGTTATTCGCGGCTCTTTTATTGAAACCACTGCTTCCAGTAACATTCAGCACTTTGGCTGGCACGTGTACAATCACCCATCACGGAGTGTTTATTGTCCTGTGGACGAACGCTGACGTCCTTCGGCTCCTCGACTTTGACGGAGGTGTTTGGTCCAGGTTTTGGTGTGGTGGAAGAGCAGGGGAGTGTCTTGGATTTCATTATGTAGTGCTTGTTGCGCATGGCACCAGATTATTCTTTCTAAGTGTAAAGAATGAGCCAACCTCATAGTGTTTCTTCAACCACTTTTGTTTGTTTCACTCTCGCTCTTTTCTTTTTTTTTTTTTTTTTACCAATTATTTATTACCATGTAATGTCCTTTTAAGTATTGCTGCTATTACCATTATTCCGTAGTTTTCAGAGAAGGCTGAGTTCTTGTGAAAGCTGTACACTAATCTCTTTTATTTTATGTATGAATCAAAGTATTTAAACCTGCTGCTGATTCTTCAGGACGTTAAAAGGACGTGGACACCCGACCTTTGACCTGGATGGAGTTAGCGAGTGATGTAGGCTGGGCCCCGGTGGTCATGTTCATATTTGTGATATATATGCAATAAAATCCATCACCTTTATATTCTTGTTTCCGTCTTAAAATGTCTCTTTACTCACTTGATGTGTATCGGATTGGTCGGAATTTGTGTCCTTGACAAGTGTGCAAAAAAATGAAGTTTGCTGTTTTTTCCCAAAAGACCGTGAATGCCTAGAGTGGTGAACAGTTTTTAAACTTGCATAAAACACAAAAGAGGTGACGTTTAATGTTGTGCAATTGTGGGAATGGCTAATGAGCTTGAAGATGAATATGGACTTTGCCTGAAGTTACAGTTGTTTTCATATTTCTCTAAGAAAACCTTTTTTTTTTTTTCAAGTAATGTGACCAGTATCATCACATTGTACAATTATTAGGTCCTGAGTGTCATTGTTTATTCGATGCAAGAGTAATGTAACTTACTATGTACTAAACATTTCTGAAAAAAATTCAGTGTAAATAAGATTATATTAAAGAAACTAAATTGCGAAACACTTCTCATTGCTTTTTTTTCTTTGTTCGCATATACTATGGATTTTATACAGAAATGAACGATAAGAAAAGTAAGCCAGCTGCCCCTCATAATTATACATGGTTCAGTTTTATTTCTCTGCAAAAATAATGAAGGAAAAGGTGACTTAAAGCTACACTGTGTAGCTCTTTTAGTTTATTCTTAGCTAAAAACACTTAGTTCTTTCAAAAATATATGTGCTCATTAATGTATATTTACTTCGTTCAAGTAATAAAGTATTCTCGTGAGTGTATAATATGCCATTGAAAATACATACGGGTAAGGGGTTCTAATGTCGGTCGCCATGTTGCCCCTCCATCTTGAAAGTACGTTAGCCAAAGAGGGACATACCCGTTAATTCAAGCTTCGCCTTTCGCGTTTACGTTTGAGTTAACACTCATGGGCGAGGTCGAACTGGAAGCCATGTTAATCTTGGACTACATTGGCCACCGTAGGAGTTAAAACGAAATCGGAATTGAGAAGAACAGAAACTAATATTCACTGGATGATCATATACCTTTTCACCACTAGATGGGGGTAAAAATCACACAGTGTAGCTTTCATGCCGACTTAGGCCTAAATGCTGGCCTAAAATTACCTTAGATTGTGATGTGAATGCTGAATATGTTGATGTTCCATACGCAAGGTGGTATAATATTTTGTCAGGAAGGGAAACAATTTTTTTCCAAACTTTTTTTTACGTCTGAACAAAATATAGCTGTAATAATAATGTAATAGTTATTATAAAGGTGGTTCATGCCATGGATTTACCGTAATTACAAGATTCCGACTTGTAAAAAGCGTTCACGTCATTGTAGAACTTCTACTAATTACAACTTGTAAACTTGAGTTTTTTTGACAGCTCCGATCACTCAAATGTGGCAGATTTCTTGATATTGTTGCCATAAAAACAATTCTGAAGATGTGAACACCTCTGTGGCATGTTAAATATCACGGGTTGTCATCTCGTAATTTCAACATGGCGTGAACATGGCATAATTATAGCTTATTATTACCTAATTGCCCAACACTCTAGGAAAAAAATGTGCAGTTAAGTAAACACTGGTAACAAGGAATGCCACATTAAACGTACTCTCTCTGCTAACGTTGGCTGTGTCTTTTCCACCATTAAAAATGTCTGGAAAATGAAAGAGAGTAGGGCCTAGATGACTTAAACTGTGAATCAAATCAGAAAGAAAAAAATGCTATGTCCTTGGAGGTCTTCCCTGCCCATTTGAAAGCATTTTGACAATGATATCCATGGAGAAAAGCTAGCAGACAGTGGTGCCACAATAGACAGCAGTAAGACTTGAGTGACCTTAGCCGAGCCAAAACACAAACCAGAAATTTCTGATGCTCGTAAATGTTCATCCATATTATTTCCTGCAGTTTTAAGAAAATTAGTGGTTCTTCTGTAATAAGATCAATGCAGATCGGTGTTGGAACTGTCAGGTAGATGGAAACCAGAGCTTTGGTTTGGCAGAAGAACCATAAAGTCTTTTTCCTCAGGCTCAGACAACATAAGTAGTCACAAGGCAGTCTAACCTTTTTTGCTTAGGAACTATGAATGAGTTTTGATAGGTAAGATAAGATCAAAAATACTGGTTATACTTTCCTATAAATCATTCCTTTTGTAGCTGAACACTAGCTGCAAACATCATGAGGGATTTTGGGAGGAATTTTCACCCCAAATTGAAAATTGTCAACATTTACTCACCCACATGTCATTCCAAACCTGTATAAATAACACAAAAATTAGTTATTTAACACGGTGTCCGTCCGAGCAGCTGTTCTCAGACAGTGAATGTAAAATGTGAAGTGAAATGAATAGTGAATTATGACTTTCAGTCTGTTTCATTCTAACACAAGGATATCAGATGGCTTTAAAACACTCAAGTGGCCATTTTATGGTGCTACTTTTTTTTTTTTTTTTATAAAGTAAAAATTATTTATCATTTGTTTTTGTTTTTTAAGCTTGAGAGATCCTAATCTACTTTTACTAAAGGCAGCGTGAAGATTTTTTAAAACTTCTAATTTTTGAAGAATGGGGGTTTGGTTGGGGGTGAACAATCCTTTTTTTGTGTGTGAATTGGTCTTGAAATGTTTACGTGTTAATAGCCTAACCATTGCATTAAACCACCAAAAAGGACAGATAGCTTCCTAAATTCACCAGACAGTTGACTTGTTCTTTATAGTGTGCTATTTAATTGTACGGTTCCTCAGAGTAAATGTTAAGGGAGACATTTTGTAATATACTTAGAGCTTCTATTTCATCTGTTCTGTTTGTTTTTAAAACTGTCAAACTTGTTTCCATTCAGGGGTGTTTTTTAAGAGACATTTTATCACTCTGTTTTTACTGGTCGTGTAGGACATGTTCACAGCAGGAGTGGGACTTTAACACCCGCCAACATACCTTTTGAAAATGTTTTTATATTCGCCAGTACATCACAAACCAGAAGTGTGTTTATTTGCCTTTTGTGAAATGTGATAAAGCATCTGATCTGTACTCCCAGAGAGCAGTAGAACGGTCTACAGGATCATATCTACTGCTCAATAAAAATGAGTTGTGTAATCTAAAATTATAACAATCAGTCACGTTTTCTTCGAGTTGCCAACCACATCATCTGCCATGAAAGACGTAAATTAAAAAAAGCCAGATGTTATTTAGATATGTTAGGAATACCCTCTCTTCAGACTAACAGCAAAAATGATTAAATTCTATTTGATCTAAACACTTAATTGTGTACTAGCCTACACCCGTTTCTTTCCTTCACTCAATTTATAGGGGAAATACCCCTCTTAATGAAGCAATACTGGAAAACACAGTATGAGAACAGTCATCAAATGTTACAAATACATATAAAATGCCCCATCATTTAATTCAACCCTTATATGTGTACAAATAAAGAGCATTTTGAACAAATCAAGTGTAGCGTCAGTTCTGGCAGCTCACGTTAGTTAAGTTCGCATTAGCTGACTGTCAGCTAATCCATACCCAGAGGAGTTCCTAAGTTCCTTCAGTATTATCAGCAGCTTTATCGAGTTTGTGATGGACAAACTTTGTTATGGACACACTGATAAGCTCGATGAAAGATATGAAAATATATTTAAAGTGTTAGTAATGTTCTTTGATCATCCACAAATCTAATAATCCATCCATCCATCTTCTTCCACTTATCCGGAGCCGGGTCGCGGGGTCATCAGTCTAAGCAGAGATGCCTAGACTTCCCTCTCTCTAGACACTTCCTCCAGCTCTTCTGGGGGGACACCGAGGCGCTCCCAGGCCAGCCGGGAGACATTGTCCCTCCAGTATGTCTAGGACCCTGGGGTCTTCCCCAGGGTCTTCTCCCAGTGGGACGCGCCTGGAACACCTTCCCAGGAAGGCGTCCAGGAGGCATTCGGAACCGATGCCCAAGCCACCTCAGCCGACCCTATCTCAATGTGGAGGAGCAGCGGCTTTACACTGAGCTCCTCCCGAGTGACCAAGCTCCTCACCCTATCTCTAAGGGAGCGCCCAGCCATCCTTTCGCCGCCTGTATCCAGGAACTTGTCCTTTCGGTCTTGACCCAAAGCTGAGCATAGGTGAGAGAAGGAACGTAGTTGACCGGTATATCGAGAGCTTCGCCTTGGCTTAGCTCCTTCTTTACCACAACAGACCGGTACACTGACCGCATTACTGCAGAAGCTGCACCGATCCGTCTGTCAATCTCCCGTTCCATCTTTCCCTCACTTGTGAACAAAACCCCAAGATACTTAAACTCCTCCACTTGAGGAAGGAACTGTCCATCAACCTGAAGTGGGCAAGCCACTCTTTTCCGACTGAGGACCATGGCCTCGGATTTGGAAGTGCTCATTCTCATCCTAGCCACTTCACACTCGGGTGCAAACCGTCCCCAGTGCATGCTGAAGGTCCAGGTGTGAAGGGGCCAACACGACAACATCATCCACAAAGAGCAGAGACGAAATCGCGTGGTCCCCAAACCTGACACCCTCCGGCCCCTGGCTGTGCCTAGAAATTTTTTCCATAAAAATGATGAACAGAACCGGCGACAAAGGGCAGCCCTGCCGAATTCAAACATGCACTGGGAAGAAGTGCGATGCGAACCAAGCTCCTGCTTCGGTCATACAGGGACCGGACAGCCCTTAGCAAAGGACTCCCATACTCCTGGAGGACCCTCTACAGGTCGCCGTGAAGGACACAGTTGAATGCCTTCTCCAAATCCACAAAGCACATGTGGACCGATTGGGCAAACCCCCATGAACCCTCCAGCACCCTGTAGAGAGTAGAGTTGGTCCAGTGTTCCACGGCCCGGACGAAAACCGCACTGTTCCTCCTGAATCCGAGGTTCCACTATCGGCCGTATTCTCCTCTCCAGTACCCTGGCATAGACTTTCCCAGGGAGGCTGAGAAGTGTGATCCCCCTATAGTTGGAACACACCCTCCGGTCCCCCTTCCTAAAAAGAGGGACCACCACCCCGGTCTGCCATCCCAGAGGCACTGTCCCCGACCGCCACGCGATGCTGCAGTGGTGTGTCAACCAAGACAGCCCCACAACATCCAGAGACTTGAGGTCTTCAGGGTGGATCTCATCCACCCCCGGTGCCTTGCCACCGAGGAGATTCTTGACTACCTTGGTGACCTCAGCTAGGGTGATGGACGAGTCCACCTCTGAGCCCTCAGCCTCTACTTTCTCAATAGAAGACTTCACGGCGGGATTGAGGAGATCCTCGAAGTATTCCTTCCACCGTCCGACGACATCCCCAGTTGAGGTCAACAGCTGCCAACCTCCACTGTAAACAGCATTGGTGGGGGACTGTTTCCCCCTCCTGAGGCGCCGGACAGTTTGCCAGAATCTCTTTGAGGCAAGCCGATAGTCCTTCTCCATGGCCTCACCGAACTCCGCCCAGGCCCGAGTTTTTGCCTCCACAACCACCTGGGCTGCAGTCTGCTTGGCCTGCTGGTATCGATCAGCTGCCTCAGGAGTCCCACAAGCCAACCAGGCCCGATAGGACTCCTCCTTCAGCTTGATGGCATCCTTTACTTCCAGTGTCCACCACCGGGGGGCATTGCGTCTCGACAGGCACCGGAGACCTTACGGCCACAGCTCTGAGCAATTCTGCTTAACACAAAAGAAGACATTTTGTTGAATGGAGAATTGTAGTTTTTTCCATACTAATTCGAGCCATTTATTTCACATGTGCTCTTTTGCAGAACTGAAGAAAAATACTGCCCATATGTAGAAAAGGCCTTTTGTCAGAATACCAAGAAAGTGATACATTGCTGTAGCCAGAGGTTGCCGAATTAATTTATTTATCGCTGTAGTGTCATTGACATTATACTGTATTGTGTTGCATACCGAGTTCGTATTCAATCCTTTGGTATTTTCTAGTGCTTTTCATACTGCATTCCTTCTCAGACACTAAATTGTCACTGATGTACATCTGGATCTCTCTCTGCTTTGTGCACCTGGAGATTCACCATGATAAATTCCTCCAGCTATAAGAAAAATGAATGTGACTTTTGTAAGTAACCTGACAGGGATGCATTCCTGGACTGAATTGTCACTGATGTACGTCTGGATCTCTCTCTCTGTTTTGTGTACCTGGAGCTTTAGCTGCTGTCTTGCAGATCAGCTGTGTGCCGTTGCTACGGGTCTGGATAATGTCAAAGACCAGGGCTTTGGGATGTTCCTTTCTGCTGCTCTTTCAAAGAGTTTTTCTGAGTGAAAAGGTTGCAGTGTTTGGCACATGGTGTTTGTGCATGGCATCCAGTCTCAGATTCCTTTCAGCACACACGCAGGCCAAAAACACTGCCATAGTGTAATACACAATAGACAGTAGAAGTTCTCCTGTCTTACGTTATCAATCCCAGAGCCCCGGTCTCAGATTCTCTGCATCGTTTGTAAATAAAAAACTTATATTTGCTTTTTAGACAGATCTAAGACCATTCTGTATATCTTCTACCTTTAAGCAATTATTTTAGCATAGAACACATAGCCTACAAATAATCATCTTTAAAAAACTGAGGTAATTTTTCTCTAATTTTGCTAATAAAGCTGTCTTTCTGCACTACATTGGTTGCTATACTCAACATTGTTTTGCAGAAGTATAAAGTTTAGTACGGATGTAATTGGAGAGCAGTAGAAATATTGCTTTGTGCTGCTGTCACAATGAAGGACACAGATAGAGATGTCAGCCACTGCAGTGCAATCAATACAGGCACGAAATGACAGCAGTGAAAGAGTTGGTTTAAAGCTCCAGTCCATAACATTTTTGGGTTAAAAATTATCCAATATATATATATATATATATATATTAGCCTGGATGCCAGCCCGAACTAAGCCCACAACATTTTTTGGTCGGGAAGTTCGGTCTGGACTCGATCAATTGAGAATGAGGAGTCAGGTGCCTATTTGGGCGGGGTCTGAGCCATTCGGCCATGATGGTAGGTGGCGCTATCGGTTACCAGGGTTCTTATCGGTTTTTAACGCAGCAGTTACTTCCAGGCATGGTAAAACAGTGCGGTATTGCGAGAAACTCCTCTACTACTGAGCTAAAAACACACGTAATCAATACTGTTTTGTCGTGGGAATCCTACCAACATGGCGGAAAGGGGAGGGGCACTGTAAAATGACGTCAACTTCTCATTCTCAATTGAGGAGTAATTATGATCAGACAAGAAAAATTCGGGCCAATCAAATTGCCAGGGTGGGCTTTATACGATGATGGACAGATGATCTGCAAGAACGTAATCATCACGTTATCAAAGAGCGCTTTTCCCTCAGAGATGACTGCAGCTGGAGAATTGAGATGTATACACCATGTATGTCACACCACTAGAAATGGTTGTGTGTGAAAATCCCAGTAATTTAGCAGATTGTGAAATACTAAGACCGGCCCGTCTGGCACCGACAATTATGCCACGCTCAAAATTGCTTAAATCACCTTTCTTTCCCATTCTGACATTCAGTTTGAAGTTCAGGAGATTGTCTTGACCAGGACCACACCCCTAAATGCATTGAAGCAACTGCCATGTGATTGATTAGATAATTGCATTAATGAGAAATTGAACAGGTGTTCCTAATAATCCTTTAGGTGAGTGTGTGATATATATATATATATATATATATATACAGTATATATATATATATATATACGCATGAAAAGATCCAGAGATTTTATGATGTGTGGAGACGTCTTTGAACTCCTCACGGATGTATTTATTTCAGTGGATGTGTTACGTTCAGTGGATGTCTGATGTTTCTTCATTCAACATCCCACCGTTTACTGAAAATGCATAAACTGAAAAACAAGGTATAAAAATTAATCATGAGAATATCTTGTAAGTCTTACAAGGACATGAAGTTTCATACTTCTTGATGGGATGCATTTTTAAAGGGTACCAGAGTTTATTTTCAGCGTAATGGGCAAATGAGCTGTCTGCTCCCTGCTGATATAATCCACGCTCAGGTGTTCAGAGCTCCAGAAAAGTTGATAATTGTGCAGAAATGACAGGTCTTCATCCAGCAACACTCAACACAGATAGAGCCAGGCTATTTATACACTCATATTGACAGTGAGAATCAAAGCCAATGAGTTTCCTCTTTCTGCTGACACTGGCATTTCACTCTGCTGTTCTTATAGTCTTGTTTATAATCTGAAATCCATTAGGACACAGTCACCTCTGATAACAGATCACTCTAAATTGTAATTTAGTCACATACATTTTCTGTGAAGCTGCTTTGAAACGATATTGTGAAAAGTGCCATAGCCTACAAATCAATATGAATTGAATTGAATTGTTTAGACCAGCACAAACCATATTATCTCTGCCAGCAATTTACTCACCTTTTTTATTGTATAATGAAAACATAACTATTGCATTGACATGTTTGTATCGAGATTTCCCATATGTAAAGCCATTTTAGACGTTCCAAATATGTATACATTAAGATAAATGTTATGTTAGTAAACACAAATCTCAGCGCTGTCTTAGCTGTTAAATATGCAGTAGGCAACATTTTGGGAAAGTTTAAAATATATTATGAGATGCAAAATCCATAACCCACCATGTATTTTAATTACTGTCTGCATAGTGTTACTGAAAATAATAGGGTAGCCTATTATATATCAATATTTATAGTTCTACTTTTAAAATCACTTTCACATATATTTCAGACAAATATGACCGAATATGAATTCAAACTTAAAATCGAAGTGGTATATGTTTGTTACACATTCAGCCACTTTAAAATATCATTGATTATCCAAACCAACAGAAATCTTTGTTTCAGAACAGAAACAGAAATCACGGTTTCGTGGTTAAATATATAGAAACAAAGATATCATGAAAATACTTCTTGTGGTCTAAAAGATAAAACGTAGCCTAATTAATATTTTAAATTCAATAAGATTCAAGTTTTAATAAATACTATAAGATTCCACTGAAATGTGAATTGCAGTAGGTCTGATATTAAGAATCATTTTAATAATTAGTTATTTTAATCATAAATTCTCTCGTAACTCTCTTGGTTTCTTTTATTAAGAAAGGCCAAATTCCTTTCATGTTGAGGATAACTTTAATGGCATCGATGTTTCCTTGAAGAAACTTTAGCAAACACAGAAGGAACTGAAGCAATCGTGAAATATTGGTGATGCACTACGGACTAGACCCGAGAGATTCTCGTTAATCCCACCCATGACTTCAGCTATGACAATAATACACCAGCCGGACCTGCAGCCTGGGAAGTTTTGCGCGCAGATGCCGAGAACGACGACACAGTTAATAGCCTATTAATATATTTTGTATAATGGAAATTTCAGTTACCTCTGAAGTCTGGGACACAATTGATTTTATTGCAATGCTCCTCAAACAGTTAAAATGAACTTAATTCACCGAGGAATGAAGTGAAACTTTTTTGAAATGGAATCAGATGGTCCACTTGGTGTGAGGAATCAGGAGAACATCTCTGCTGCTTTTACTAACATATCACCAACAATAGCAGGACCCGACGAGCACGCGCACGCGTCTCAATACGATATGCTTATTACATCCATACTCGGCACAATTTTGACCATAATGTGTTTGGTTGGCGTGGTTGGAAACGTTTACACTCTGTACATTGTGAACACCTCAGCGCGCGTAACCGGATCAATGTATGCCTATATTGTGAACTTGGCTCTGGCGGATCTGCTGTACCTCTCCACTATCCCGTTCGTGGTTTGGACGTATTTTGCGAAGGACTGGTACTTTGGCGACATTGGGTGCCGCGTTCTGTTCAGCCTGGATTTCGCCACCATGCACGCGAGCATCTTCATCTTGACGACCATGTGCACGGAGCGCTATCTGGCCGTCGTGAACCCGCTCGACACCTTCGGCCGGTCCCCGCGCTACAGGCGCGCGGTCACATGCCTCGTGTGGCTGTTTTCCTTCATCCTTGCTCTACCGACCATGATCATGATTGACCTCAAGAGAGACGTGCACAATGGAGTAGAGAAGCGCATATGCCACCCGACCTGGCAGATGACCGCGTACAGGGTGTATCTGACCGTTCTGTTCAACACCTGCATCTTGGTTCCTGGGTTAATCATCGGTTATCTCTATCTGAAGTTAGCCCGGACCTACTGGCTGTCGCAAACCTCTGTATTCCCATCCAGAAGAATGAAGAAGTGTCCAACGCAAAAGGTGTTATACATGATCTTCGGTATAGTTCTGACCTATTGGGCGTGTTTCTTACCCTTCTGGTTGTGGCAGTTGCTCAGTATCTATTATTACGCGGCGCACGGGAGGCTCTCGAGCAGCACGGTTGTGTACATTAACTTTGTTGTGACCTGTTTGGCGTACAGTAACAGTTGTATCAACCCTTTCTTGTACACTTTATTAACGAGGAATTATCAGGAATATGTGAGGGACAGACAAAAAAACAGCAGAGAGTTAAAGAAGAGGCTCAGACTGTCATCTCAAAGGTCTGTGTCTTCTGGAAGTCAACAGTTCTCGAATACTTTGACTAATACCAGAGACTTTGCTAATACGCACCCTAATGGCATTCTGGATGCTTATAGCACATTGTGAAAAATAGTTCTTAAACATAGCAGTTGGATAATTTATAAAAATTTGAAGTCATCATGTTATTATTATTATTATTATTAAGTGTTTGGTGAAAGGAAGGTTTTTAGGGGTCACCCATTTCCCCCTTCTTTTAACCAAACAGACAAACGCAGATTACAGCAAAATATCATGTTTTGTATAATGTATGTTTGAATCTACCAAATAGCATCAATATCAATTATTCTTATCTTTTAAAAAAGGACAGTACTGGGGGTGCAGAGAAATTGACCCTCATTCTGCCCTGTCCCAAACAACATTAGTTGGCAGAACGTTCTGGTAATGTTAGTTTTTGGTTCCCAGAAAGTTCTCAGAACACCCAGCACCCCCAAAATCACCTAAACCTGCATTTTTAAATTTTTTGCCTTTTAGTTAGAATACGTCAGATGCAGAACGGCTTTTTGTTCTAAAATAATTATGAGGGAACGTTCTGTACTAATTTTATGGTTGTAAAAAAAACAACCTTTGGGAACATTCTATGTTACTTTTAGGTTGTTTCAAATTGTAATATATATATATATATATATATATAAATACCACTGTAAAAAAACTTAACTTTAACTTAAAAAAATTAAGTAACCTGGTTGCCTTAATTTTAAATTGATTAAAATGGAAAAAGTGAGTTAATACAATGAAGGAGATTGATTTAATCATCAGAAACTCAAAATAATAAGTTATCTGAACTAAACAAATTAAGTTGATTTGACAAAAGAAAAATGTTGTGATAACAAATCTTGAAAATATTTTTTTTACAGTATATATATACAGTATATATATATATATATATATATATATATATATATATATATATATATATATATAATTTCTGTACAGATGAATAATTTGATATGAATGTTAACATTTTGCACTATTTCTTCTTCTGCATCTCGAGAGATTGCTGACAAAATATGTTGATATTAGTAAAATGGTGACTTGATTCTGAACTAAAGGACCATAAATACACACAGGAAATTGTGTGCAATCAAGAAAGAGGTTAATGTGTAATAGTACGTTATGTTAAGCTTGATTTTCAGTTTCTGTTTATTTAAAATCACACATGACATTCAATATAATTTGTATTTGTATGTGCTTTGTTATATAAAATATTTTACACATTAAATATTTTGTAATTGAGTACTTTATAATATTGTAGTTTAAAAACTATTGTCAGATGTGATTTTTTTCCCAGTTGCATGCTATTAATAAAAGAGAAGGCAGGTTGTGTGCTTGAAATGCTCATTATATATATATATATGTAACCAGACACATTTTTACATAGCATAGAGTCATCAGTGACTATATGTCTCAATTTGTTTTTAAGAACTGATGCCTGGAATATTATTAATGCATCACATCCTTATTGGCTTGTCAAAAGAATGCATGAAATACTTTATAGCATAATTGTATTATTTGTATGTTTCCTCTTAATTTTATTCTTCTGTTTTGTGTAAGCTTAAAGCTACACGGTCAAGAATTTCCATTGCAGTGAATGAGGTATTGTATTCATGGCACTTTTCTTTAGTGCTGAGCAGTGAGCTGTGAAATCACTTTCAGCAGCAACAGCTCATACAGGTTTACACCACCAATAAACAAATGAGTCACTTCGGGCTGTTTTCCATAAACAGGATAGTATATTGTTAAGGAGTAGTCTCTTGGACACTCATGGCCCAAATCATTTTTGAATTCTCAAAACGATCAAGTGGTATTGAAGCCAAACGCTTATTCTGTCTTGATATTGTACAGGCTGTTCTATTTTATGTTGAAGAATTGAAACCATATATTTGGCTACTGTTATCCTGGTAGTCAATGCTTTTTGGACTTCTCGACTCTCCATCAGTTGTGCAATGACATGGCTATCTCAGAAAATAAAGTACATAATTGTACCTTTAGGGGTACAATGGCTTGTCACTGGGGCTTTACCCTCAAGGGTACAGATTTTGTACCCTTAGGGTACATATTTGTACCCTATAGAGCCCAAACTTTTATTTCCTTTATTTCAAGGTTATTTCAAGGCTACTTGAATATAGTGATAAGTTAAAATCTACCTCCAAACTCAAGTGTTAAAATGGTAAAATACTGAATGAGTGTTAAAGTCAATGAGCTCATTAAGTTATTCATTGAGTGATGATTGACCATTATTGAAGACACCTGATGTTAACAAGCAGAAAATCGATTTTTCAAGACACCATTATGGTGATCAGGGTTTGCTTTAGTTGGGCTCTTGGCTCTTAAACTGTTAACAATAGATTTTGGGTACAAAATCTGTCCCCTTGAGGGTACAGCCCCAGTGACAAGCCATTGTACCCCTAAATTATGTACATTATTTTCAAAGAGTGCGCTTCAGTAAACATTTGTATATCTCATACCAAGCAATATTTGTGAAAAGATATTGAAAAAGGACAAATAAATCATACAAGAGAGAGACATCTGAACATGTATTCAAGATTCTAATAATATCATGAAGAGTCCAGATTCCAAAAAGTAGATTATTTTGTAAATACGGGTTTGCAATCCCATATAATAATTTACCATTATCACTTTGATGAGCCACAGACCTAAAAATGTTCTCTTAACAAACCAACAGATTGACCATTTGAATCATTGCAAGGCAGCTATTTTTTGTAAGAATCTATTTTAGTGCGACTTCTAAGAAATCTGAAATAAAAAACATTGTGATTCTTAAAACTATGTTTTGGAGCGATATTTGATACAAATATTTTGATGAAAGTCTGATTTAGGAGATCCCATCTGCAAGGGAATATCTGCTGGCTATTTTAGTGGCTTGGCAGTCATAATTGCAGGGTTCTGGTTTCATTGATTGACATTTCAAGAGATTCTCCTGCTACAAAGCTGTTAATGTCTGAGTTTGAGTGACGACTGACTTGATGAAACCACCTTTTATGAGAATTTTTTCTGACTTTCATGAATAGCTGATATGTTTGTGTAGTCATTTGCCAATGAGCCATTCATTCTGGAACAAAAATATGTTTTTTAATGATGATACAAAAGCTTTTGGAGTATGGCACATGAGTTGAAGCCCACAGGTGCTACATTCCTCTCTTTAAATTAGAGAAGCAACGACTGTGGTGGCAAGTTTATATTGGTAAGGTCCCGTGTTTAGATTTCAAGTTCATTCTTCCATATGACGCCAATCATGGCGATCGGATGCATGCTTTTCAACTTACACTGACCTACTTTGAAACGTCTTCATCATTTCAGTCATCACCTTTTGCTGCAGAGCCTGTTGCATCCTAAGGGAGTCTGAGCATAATTGGCCACTGTTCATCTCTCAGCATATTTTCCACTTTCACAAAATGAAGCTAAGGATGGTTGTTTTGTTGTACTTGAATCTGTGCCACTCAGAATGAAGACTTACTTTGTTGGAGAGGCTGATAGGTAATTGTTTTCTTAGTCTTTGGACACAGTTAATGCAACATTTTTGGTCATTAAGATTATGAGACCAAGTGCATAAATGTGCCTCTTTACCATAAAGTCATCTATCTATCTATCTATCTATCTATCTATCTATCTATCTATCTATCTATCTATCTATCTATCTATCTATCTATCTATCTATCTATCTATCTATCTATCTAACTATCTAACGTTATATACAAATAAAGCTTCAAAAGGTGTTTTTTAAAAACGAATGTAATGCATATTTTTGAGTAATGAACAATATGTTTAAAAAATTATCAGTTGTTAAATACCAAATGTTTTAATTAATTTTTTGACTTTTTTATGTCATGCGGTTCAACCAGTAATGCATTATGTTCATGCATTATGTTATTACCTTGTCAATTCATGATAAAAGAGCCATGTTTGCAGTAGTGCTACTGTGAGAATATATACAAATGGCTGTTTTCAATTATCTCAACTGTGTTAAAACTACTTATATTTATAAAAAACTTTTATATCAAAAGTTTCAAGCCTAAAATTATATTACGTTTTTAATTATTTAGTATGTTCATTCGTTCGGATAGTACTACCTGACATTTTGGGGGTTTATGATAACAAAACATAAAATAATATGTATTATTTAAATGCAGGCAAATAAAAATGAATTCAAACTAAATAGGTTATACAAAATAAAGTGATATTTAGTAATGAACGTATCAAATTAATTAAAAAATGCACTTGGACACAAAATATACACGTCATGTCACACTCACCCCTAGATTGAGGTGTCAGTCATTTGCAAAACTGCATACAAAACGGTCTTCACTTGTAACTCAGGCTGTCCAATATTCAAACTTTGCATTGTGTGTTCATATCTTTAAAGGTTTAAATTAAATTGTATCTAATTACTAAATGATAATCGGTTGGCTGGTCGGATGTTTATGTCAAGATTTTTGAAAAATAACATCAGCGCCACAGTGGACGGTTCTAGGTACAAACACTTCGTATCAGAGACCTCTAGAGGACGTACAGAAACTAACAACAGACAACGGACGGAAGAGAACTACAACTCTCATGATCCTCCGCCTACAGCACGTCGCCTCTGCGTCTGACGTCACACTCTAGCTTGTTTTGGCCGTTTGTTTCGATATCCGGCGATCAAACGCTTTCGATGTGCTGGAAATTGTGACTGAGAGGTACGTGCAATTCATGAAACAGTATTCGTGTGTTGTAGTCTTATTAGAGCTTGTTTACCCTCGCCATTAAGTTGGGACGAAAACCCAGCTAATAATGAAAATCTTTCTTGTTTAAGTGATGTCAGCTGGCGCGGAGGGTTAACGCCAAACGCTAGCCGAGCCTGGCTAGGGACTTTAGCGAGTACAGATTTGTTTGTTTCTTTTGTCCTGCTGTATATCTGTCACTTAATTAACATTGTCAACGTGTTTTAAAGAGAAAGATAAAGAGCGATCACATTTATAACATTAACAGTGTTTCTCAGCACTGCTATGCTAGTCTGTTCTGGTCAAGCTATTGGGAATTAACAGGCTGTGTTTTGAAACCTTGTTGTAAGCTGACTACTTAGACAGCACTTTTGGGTGTCACAGGCGCGTTTCATCTGAAACATCATAGATAAACCAAACAGAAACACACCGTGACAGGTCGCATTAAAATAGATAAACATTATTTTCAAGGACATCAACTCTTTCTAACTCATTTACTTTCAACTGTTTGTATTGTACGTGAACTCAAGCTAAATAATGGTCATGAATATAATGTTGATGTGTGAATCTGTCATTCTAGGCTACTTTAAAACTGTTTGGAAACTATATGAGATCGTATGTGCACGCGCAGCCTCACAGGTAGTCTAGTCTAGTGTATCATTAAAGTCAGCATGGAATCTAAATAGATAGTTCTTGTTTTTATGGAATATTGCAGTATTTATTAAAAAGGATTTATCCGTGCTTTTTTTTTAAATTTATGCACCCTAATCAAATTTTTCTTGTTTTTTGAAGCCATTTCACTCAAATATCCGTCATAATAGCGAAT